AAAAGGGGAATATAGGGACCCCTGTTTTTTCTCAGCCCCTTGGAACCCTGGAACCAAAAGAAGTGATTACCTTTTGGGTTGCCACGAAATATAAATATGGACCGGAACCCAAAATGGGAAAACCAAAAGGTCAAAAGGTCGATTCGCTTTGAACAACTGAGTGAAGTAACGAAGCCGCAAGTCAGGGGCCTTCATGGTGTGTAAGTTGCTCAACTAGGCTTTTTCCAGTAGAGGCTAGAATTTTAGATCCAGCTTGTTTCTGTAGTCTATCCTAGTAGGGGAACCCTCCTCTGAAGGGGAGAGAAGGGCAGCTGGGGGAGCTAGTCAATGGCCGCACATTTAGAGCACCCTGGCCTGGAATCCATTTGACTCGAAGTCTCGTGGTCTTTGGCCAACAAAATGTTCACTTCCTGGACTGGCAAAAAAAGGTAAATCAACTTTATGTTTGCCGCTAATATATGTTGTCTTTCCAAAGAAAGCTTAAAGTCCATGAGCTCAGGAAGTCGGAAGTGAGAGCGCGCCGGGAACCCCGGCGCCCTGGCTACTAAGACCCGGCGGCGCCCTGGCCGGCCGGCCAAGGATGGGTCCAGCCCGGACCCCGGCGACGCCTGGCTGAGAGGAACCCAACAAGGGTCCGGGTCTCCCCGCCAAAAAGAAAAAGCAAGAAAAAACTGATGCCACTCCCCTTGAAACAAGATAAGCTTTGCTTTTTGTTTGTTCTGCCTGGGCCGCCTGTTGGGTACCTGAGTCTGCAATCCAGATTCAACTAGTGATTTATGCTTCTCCCCCCCCTCCCCCCCTGCAGTTGAGATCCCCTCACATGGCCCACACCAAAGCCCAACTCTCCGTGGACCTTGTCGGCACACTTCTGCTTCCGTCTTAGGCCTCAACCACATGCCCTTCAAAAGGCGGATGATATGGACGACATGTGAACCGAGTGCAAATTCTCATTGGGCCGCGTTGGCGGCTAGTTCCCCATGATTGCGTGATACTAGAATGGCTCAATAGCCACCAAATCACGGATTCATACAGGGATTGAGATTCCGGGTCTGGGGTAGACACAAGTACTAGTACGCCAACGTGAAGTCAAGTGATGGGTATCACAACGCTTCTACTCCAGAGTCACGTGCTTCTTTCGGCCTTCCATGGATTTGTTTGCAGGAAAATCATGGATGGGGGTAGGGTAGGGGGCAGACTTGGGCAAACTTGGACACCTCCAACTCAGTGGTTGGTGTTGCGTTGGTTGCTCTTCCAGCCATCATGTAAAGGGCCTTATAGTTGACACCGCACCCAAAACAGAGATCATCCAAAACTATCCATGGCAACGTTTGGCGAACCAAACAAAGGCAGGACACGAAGAACATAGTGAGCTCATTGCACCCACAGATCGGTGCAATAGCCAGAAAATTCGCAGAACCCATACTGAAGTCATGCCAGCAGTTGCAAAAGGTGGCGCATCCTGACTGTCACTGCGGCTACAACCCCGCCAAAGACCGGCAGAGCAGTAGCAGCCAAGAAGTGAACAAAACATGCCAAGAGCTGTGAAGCATATTATAAGGGCCCAAGAAATTTGCATGGGGGTGTCGGGTACTTTAACACCAAATGCAGGTGTACTAGTCTACACTAGTAGTTGTTTAATGCCCCTTCTACCAAGGCCCACCCCCCCACTCAACTGGCTATGCTCAAGTTGAATTGCTCGCGCCTGCGCTTGGCGCCGCAAAGGCCAATGCCATGTCCTGCTGGAAGCCTCGTCTCAATCAAACAACGTGGCCCTGAGGCCAAGCGGGGAAACCAACAACGGCTTTCGGGTTTAAACAAAAACAGTATTTGTCAGCCAGAATCAAAGAATCAAAGCCATATGAAAGAAACCTACGCCAACCAGGTCCTCCAGTAGAGAGGTTAGAATAAGGGTACCTTTGTTTTGTAGGCTTTTTGAGTAGGGGAACCCTCCCCAAAACAAGGGTGAAAGGGCACCTAGCTGAAAAACCTAGCTAAACCATAAGCAGCCAGAATCCACGGAACACACATCTGGCCGGGACTGTCACCCCGCCCTTCAACCACGGGGTCTTCATTGTGGCTCTGCTGGCGAGCGGTCGGACATAGGAAGATTCAGTTTGGAAAACCAACAGGTCAAAAGACAAATTCGCTTTGGACCTTCACTGTGCAGCTTTGGACGTGGAAGCTGCCCTTGCGCCCTTGGTTCGGGCTGAGGTAGCTTCGTGCCCGTCAAGGAAACCCTCTTTCGGAGCCTTTCGCCATTTTGAGTGAAGCCGGCCCCAAAAAAAAAAACGAAAGGCACTGAGCCAAGGTCCCCTTGGGACCCAGCGAGAGGTCCGTTCCCGAGCTCAAGACTGGACTTGAGGACTTGAGGCCGCGGCTGGAAAAAAACGCGCGGCGAAGAATGGGTCAGTTGGTCGGTTGCTCTGTGTCACCAACATGTCGCAGTGGACTGGCCAGAGTAACCAACCCTTAAGCCGCCAAAACCAGCCAGCCCCAAAAAGTGACAGTCTGAAAGGGAACTCAGAACCCAAAAAGCAACTGAGGGAGTGAGACTACCAGAGATGCTGTGATGAAAATCATATGAAAGTGGCAAGTGATGTGCAAACAAAGCCTCAAGCGGACAAGCAGAGGGTGTGACATTGGGTTTGCTTGCCTAGGTGCTCCAGTAGAGGTTAGAACAAGGGTACCCTTTTTTCTGTAGTCTATTTTAGTAGCTGACCCTCCTCCGTCCATCATTCTGCCCTGTCCTTCTACAGGGGGGTGACACGGAAGATGTTGGCACCGACATGTTGTGAAGTCCCCCGCACAGTTCCCAGTCCACGACCTACGAAAATATCTCGTTGGGCGGTCATGTCGCTTCATTCTGACATTTGTGGTTCAAAACCACTGGTGCCATTTTGGGATAGGTACACCACCCATTTTAGTCTATTTTAGTGGGGATCGGGATGTTCACTGGGGTACGGGTTTTAACCCATGGCCATTTGTGTTTCATCATGTTCACACCTTTGGTAGTCTTGGGTGAAGGGAAAAACCTAGTCTCTGCAATGGACATGTCGTGGCTACCCCTAAAAAACTAAAAGCATGGGCCCCGTCGGTATGGCCTCTGTTTCAGATCCGCGTTTGTTGGAAATGCTGAGCATATTTCGCATAGAGACCAAGATTGTGTATGGCCTTGCGACCTTGCTCCGAATACCAGCCTTTGTCCAAATTCGGGGGTGCACTATTCCGTGACGGAAACTCTGCCACCCTGTGCAAGTTCTCGGCCACTGGCCCCCCCGTCTTTTTCTGTCCTGCGAGGCGGTTTAGTTGGCTCAATCGAGCATCGCTTTGACCAGGCGGAGTCCAACAACAGGCACCTGTCGGCCCCCTCTCCGGGCTGAAGCCCTAAGAACTTCGCTCGGAACACTGGGCACAACAACGGTTGGTAGACTTGGGTTGGGGCTGATGCGTTTGGTTGCAAGTCACTTGCAAGGTCCCCATCTGGAAGCCTCTTAAAGATTTGCAAGCCAAGCAGCCACATACACACTTCAGGGTAAGATGCAGAAAAACGTCTGTGCATTTGGGGCATCAAACCCACGCCTGTAGAAGCTATGCGCATTGTCCACATCAATGGGATAGAGACCAAGTTGGGTTAGCCAGGCTGGGCAATCCCCAACAGGAGTTCCAAGCCCAATTCGGCCAATAGCATAGCGGCTCTAGGGTAGTTGCCGGATGTCCGACATTGAAAGACCCATCAAGTGACCCGCCCACTTTGCGACTTTGATGCCCATGTCATTTCTTGCTTCTGCTTGTCTGCGTGATGGGATGCCGCTGAACATTACATTAAGCCACAAGCACTCATCAATGCAATGACCCAATGCTCTTTGAGCTGGTTTGCAACTTTACCGGTTGAACACCTCCAACATGATCCTACCAGTAGAGCCGGCGAAGCCGGTGGGCGGAAGTTTCCAAGATATAAAAACGATAGTTATCTTTCTCTTTCTTCTCTTGAGTCTTTTTCTCTTCTTCCTCCTTTTCATTGTTT